GGCTTGGCCCCGGCGGGAGAAACCGGCGTCCCCGCGCCGGAGAGCGGGCACCTTCCCCCCCGCGCAGCGTCCCGCCGTGGGGAGCGAGGAGCGGTGACCGGGTAACGAGTTGCTCCTACGCGTCCTCTGAAGTTGCTGCTGCGTGCGCGGAAAGCTCCCGGGCTGGTAGCGAGCTGCAAACTTTTCTGCAAGGGTTACTGTTGTAGTAAACTTCATTATTTTCAGGAATAATACATCGCTTTTCATTTTTGAGCTGCTTGAAAATAACTAAATAAATCAGGGTCCCTACATGGCACTGTGAATAGCTGCTAATTAAAAAAAAAAAAAAACCACCCAAAAAAAAAACAGCCTCACAAACTGAAAATAGGAGGTAAAATTTAAACTTCAGCCATTCATGTGAGGAATTTAGTTGCTTAGGTTGATTTTCACAAGTTCCAAGTTTGCAGTAGATCATGGGGAGCTACAATGTGTTTCATTTCAGAATGTCAGTTAGATCCTACTTGTTGATGTCATTGCATGTGGGTTTTGTTAATCCCCAAACAAATATATGGTCCCCAGCATCCTTACTATTTCCTTGCCTTGGAAGTTGTAACAAAATTCTTCCTTTTACCTACAATAAGTTTCAACAAACATGAAGTTAAGCTTCTGTTTACTTCAAATTAAAATAAATTTTGGGAAAAAACCCATTTATTTTTAAGATCATTTGCAGTCTGAGTCTAATATGGTTTTATCAGGAACATACAATGCCTGCCTTGTGTTATCTGTTCAGTTGTTTCTTTAGACTGACAGTATGACTTAACTCAGATATGACAAACTTCTGCTGCAATCTGCTCACCCTGCTATTCACATTTGCTTCAAGATATCATTCTATACAACTGATTTGATATTTAGTGGGTGTGCTTAATGGATGTAACTTGCTTGGGGAACAGGTGGAAATGAGGGTGGTAGCTGGAAAAGTAACTAAAAAGGAAATGTAAAATGAAGCCTCCCCTGCTGCTTGTGCCTGCTCCTTTCCAACACAAGGCACAGTCACACGTGGCGTAAGCCGTTCCAGAGGAGCTCAGCTCAAGGTTAAAACTGCCACACTGACTACCAACCTGCTTAGCAGTGAGGCTTGATGTCAAATACATTCTGTGGTTGCTTATGGCCAATTGTACGTTGAAGATCCACATTAGTGCCATTGCTGAACTTGATCAGGTCCTTGCTTAAGAAAAGGCCAACTAAACCTTGGCAGTAAATGAATTGTCACACACACCTTATGCACTCACGTACACATTCTGTAAATACATACAACATTACTGAGAGTAAACCAAGCTCAAACCTCATGGCAGCTTCCATTATCAACTCCACTAATTTCACTTTGGCTTACAGTTTATCACAAATAATTCGTTCCCATTTGGCATTATCACAGTTGCCAATTGTTACAGCTACAGAGAAACATGGAAGTACAGCAATAACTCATCACAACACCTTTTTTTAATTTCAGTTATGTACTATGACTGATGGAATCAGTAGAATGGTTGAAGTTGGAAGGGACCTCTGGAAGTCATCTGGTCCAACCCCCCTGCTCCTGCAGGTCCACCTAGACGTGGCTGCCTAGGACCATGTCCAGATGGCTTTTGAGGATCTCCAAGGATGGAGACTCCATGATATCCCTGGGCAGCCTGTGCCACTGCTCAGTCACCCTCACAGTAAAAAAGCTTTGCCTGATGTTCAGACAGATCCTCCCATATTGCAGTTTGTGCCCATTGCCTCTGGTCCTGTCACTGGGCACCACTGGAAAGAGCCTGGCTCCTTCTTCTTTGCACCCTCCCTTCAGCTATTTATGGACATTTGTAAGATCCCCCTGGAGCTTTCTCTTCTCCAGGCCGAGAAGCCCCAGCTCTCTCAGCCTTTTCTCACAGAGAGAAGTGTTCCAGTCTCTTCATCATGTTTGTGACCTTTGTTGGTCAGTCCAGTATCTCCATGTCTCTCTTGTACTGGGGAGCCCAGAACTGGACACAGGACTCCAGGTGAAACCTCACCAGTGCTGAGTAGAGGAGAAGGATCCTGTCCCTCCGCCTGCTGGTAACAATCCTAATGCAGCCCAGGTCACCATTACCCTTAGCAATAAGGGCTCATTGCTGGCTCAGGTTCAGTCTGGTGTTCATCAGCATCCCCAGGTACTTTCCTGCCAAGCTGCTTTCCAGCGTCGTGGCCCCCAGCGTGTACTGGTGCCTGGGGTTGTTCCTCCCCAGGTGCGGGACTTTGCACTTCTTGTTGAACTTCATGAAGTTCCTGTCAGTCAGCCCAGATTAAAAAAAATCCTATTGCTACAAGAGCAAAATAAAAAAGGTTGCAGTTCAACCAGTTTCTTTTTCCATTGGAGAATCAATAATCCTTTCGCAAATATTTTGTGGGCTTACAGAGTGATGTTTGTTGACCTTAGCTGATTTCTGTGAACACTGTTTACTCATGATAGAATAAAATGTAGTAGGAATGATTGCCTGAACATCTTGGGTACAGTACTGAGATTTAGGCTGAAATTCACTGCTTTTCCATATAATCATCAGTGAGTTCTAGAAATATATTTGAACAGGGACATCTAATGATCTAAGCAACTCGTATGTTGCCTCTGTTAGACTGTTAGGCTGGATGTGACACAATCTGACATTTTCACACTCTGTTGTGAAATTTGTATTTCAGCATCTAGACACACGTGTGGTATTGAAATGTTTAAGAAAAGTCTGTCTCAGGAAATTTAACTTGTAAATTGCAAAAGACAAGATTGTGCTAAGCAACATTTAAATACAACATTTTGTTATTAAATCAATTCAAACTGATTTACCTGTCATATTGCTGAAATTAAATCACATTTATAGCATTGCTGGCATACAAGTAGTTTCTCAGCAGTCCAGAGGAAAAACTGTTTAATCAGACTGTTCCTAAAACAAAGAGATAAAGCAGAGATCATCTGAGAAAACAGACCTGCATGG